ATGTAGTAGACGAGCATAATCGTGCTGTCACATGTTTTTCGTCTTAGCCTTGTCTTTTCGTCTTAACCGTCGCAGTCCGCTTCATTGAATGTTTAGTTTGATAATTAATGAACATATATTCAGTGTGAAACTGTTGCTTTCAAGTTGTGTTGTACCGGTAATACAAAGATGATTCAAACTTGTCCCTTCTGTTGCCAACGTATTCAATATACGGAAATAGCATGTGTGTGCGTTTGCGTGAGTGAAAGGTGTAGGTGAGATTTCACGTTGCAACGCGTTCTATTTATTTCCAACGCGTGTGGTCGGCGCCTTTGATAGCGTTTATTTTGTTCTTTCATACTCGAAATCTATCGCTGGCACCATTTATTTTGTCACGTCTCACAACTGAACGTCCAAGCTGACTTTGTTTTGGCTGTAAATGATGCTTTGAATGAGATCATGAATATTCATAAGTTGATTAATATGTAGATTTTCAGCATGAAGTCTGGGCCATCTGCCACAATTTCAGTATGTAAATTTTATAAGAACATTGACTTCAAATTCAGAAAGCTTGATATATACTGCATCCACACATAGTGTAATTCATGTTTTAGACCTTCTATAGCATAATTCCATTGACAAATATTGGCATGGGTTCCATTACAAATGTTGTGTTGTACCCCATAAAGTGCAATTTACCCTAAGATAAATATTTATATCGATGGTTTGGGCCATGGATTTTCTGTTTGATAAAACCCAGGTAATCAGTCTCTTATGAATCAAAGTCATCTCCATATCATTTGTGAAGCACTAACCAAGTTTCATTTTTTCCATCAAGATATTTTGAAATGGGACATTATGTTTTGGGTTCCCTACCACACATCTGTCAGTTTGTCATCCAATGTCATTTCGCACATTACTTGGATCAGTTTTGTTAACAAAGACAAGTCATAATGGTGTACACCGTTTCGACCTTCGACCTCTGACTGGTGAATTGCTGTGAACCACATGTAATTCATACCTAGAATATTGTGATATACTGTGTCTCAACCAGCATGTAAAAGCTACACATCAACAAAATCATTGTACCTTCAATAAATCATACAAAAACAAAATATATTGGTGTTTCTACTTATAATGCACGTCAATTTAAAAAACATTAATTTTCATATTGTCAAGAGGATTTTCATAGCTTACTTGTAAATATTTTAACATACCAATATTATATATGAGAGAGCTTAGAAATAGTAAAACATTTAAAAATTGCAATTTATATTTTCAATTTGTATTTGCAACATGCGCCACTCGAATGTGTCGTACATTTCGGTGCAGATAGAACAGGATTGTATACTCAGATCAATTAATTTGGTATTGTATCGTAAAACTGTAATGTGTAATACTGTATTACATATTTAGTATACATTGTTTGGTAAATACATATAGAATGCCCAGTCAATATTTTTTTTTTTGCTCTTAACAATATTTACTGATATATTCACCTGTTGAATAATTGACAAAAAAAAAGAGATAAAAAACAATTTTACTACAATATTTCCTTGCCTTTTTGTGATGTAATTGAAATTTTGATGTAATTGAATTTAATTTGTACTCTCATTAGTAATAAGAATTTAATAAAAAATGTATACATGTTGAATGCTGTAATGTTTATTAAATCCCAGCATGCATCATTTCAAATTATAGAAAAAAATAGAAACAATTGATGTGACATTCTGGCTGAAATAAAAATATAATATCTGCTTATTTGGATTATATGAATGCTACACAGCTATATACCTTTATCATAATTATATTAAAAGGAATATTTGGCACTTATTTTTTTATATCATCCATTGTGCCACTCTATTGTAAAAATGAAAACAGATTATGAAAATGAATTTTGAAAATAAAAATGGATTTTAAACACTAAAATGGATTTTTAATACAAAAATTGATTTTAAAAATGAAAACAGATTTTAACAACGATACTTGATTTAAACAATATGTTTTAAAATAAAAATCGATACTCGAACGAAAATGTGTTAAAAATCAATTTTAGAATCGAAAATGGTTATTAAAAATGATTCTCATTTAAGAATGATTCCCATTTGCATACAGAATGATTTACATTTGCATTCAGAATGATAAAATCAAAATCTATTGTAAAAATGTAAATGAATTGTAAAAATGGTTTTATAAAATGCTACGTTGTCGTACTATTGTCATTGTAATATTTTATTTTACTAGGTCATTATATCTTTATTTTCAGGATCATGTGACAGTTACTTTGATTTTTGCAGTTTCGTCTGCTGTGTGGGGTTCGTTTCAGTTTGGTTACAATACAGGTGTTGTTAATGCACCGCAAATGGTAAGCACATATTCCTTGTATTTTATACAAGCAATCCATGAAAGCAAGATAAGATAAACAAGGGATTAGAAAATGTATCTTGTTGCTAGACCAGACTGGTGTTGTGACTGACTTGACTCTTGTCATTGGTTGTAAAGCTTTCATTGTCATTAGGGTTGACTTATAACTTTTTCTCTGTCACATTATTGTAAAAATAAAAAAAAAATTGAAAATGATTTAAAATATTTTAGGACCGGAATTTGTTTATCCTTAGATCTAGAACAAAACTATTTATGTTCCTGGTCCTATGGGCATCAGTTTAACATGTGTTACTTTGTTAGAATTTTAGAAAAGCTTAAACAAAAATTCAATTTCCAAGCAAAATCAATTTTAATATATGAAAATACAGGCATGATTTAATTTGTGGAGAACTATGCTTTACTTTTTACTTTCA